TGGCTTCCATCTCTTCACTTCTACTCCTTTGCCCTTTCAGTATTTTGTCCATTTCTGATATTTTATTATTAGTCATTTGGACCTCTTTTTGCATGTTTTGAATTGTTTCCAATGCTATTTCTATCTTATTTTATTGTTCCTGTAGTGCTTTCTTGACTTCTTCCTTAAATTTCTCAGCCCCTTTGTGTAGCAGTTGGATATACCTCAATACTATTCTCCTGAATTCCTTCTCAGGCAGTTCCAAAGCCTGCCCTCCTTTTAATGGGAAGTCAACCTGAAGCTCATTTGTTTCAATTAACTCTATCTTATTTCTGGACATGTGCCAAAATCTTCGACTGGTTCTTTGACCAATTTTTTTGAACATCAAGTTTCTCTTACCCTACTTATAAGAAGGGATTTATTCACTCACTCACTCACTCACTCACTCACTCAGTCAACTCTTTCAAGCAATTTGGATTGATGTAGAAAATGGCATAGTAAAGTGCATGAGCTTTGGGAGAAAAGTTTAGAATACCTTGTTTATTATTTAAAATAACCTGGCAAACAGTTGTTGAAACCCCAGGAATGGTTTTACTTGGGGACTGTGTGGTGGCACATAGTCTGTGTGGCATAAATCATTAAGGATTTGGCTGATAAATGAAAGGCTGATTGTTTGAGTTTGCCCAGAGAAGCCTTGGAATAAAGGCCCAAAAGATCACTGCCTTGAAACTCCATGGAGCATAATTCTACTCTGATGCATAAGGAGACTCAATGAGTCAGAATCAATGCAACCATAACTGGTTTTGTTTGGTTATCTGCCTCTCATGGAGAATATGATGCTAAAGTGAGAGAGGGGGAAAGAGAAGGCCTAAACTTCAGATCTTTCCTCTTAGTACACACTAACTAACTGATACCAGGCAGAAATATGATCCCTTAAATCTGAAGAAGTTAGGATCAGAGGGAGATATTTTAATTATTTTATTTTCTAATGTGTTATCTCAAAAATCTCAGCTTAAAAAACATAGAAAAAAATTTTTGTGTGTGTGAATTTGTTTAATAATAATAATAAAAATAATACCTTAGTTTGTCTTTTTTTCAAAATGAAGGAACTATTGCTTAATTTTGTCTTTGTGCTAATGCTGTGAAGCAGATAAAGACAGGTTTTCAGATTCTAGATTTAGAGATGGGGAAGTTGAGACCCAAAAAGAATAAGATCACTTATTCATTCATTTGTTCCTTCATAGGTCTGTCCTCAGTGGGGGTAATGAATTGCCCACACTTAGATATACCTAGCCCTAGAATCAGTTTTGTTGTTGTTGTTAGGTACTGTCAAGTTGGTTCTGACTCATAGTGAGCCCATGCACAATAGAACAAAACACTGTCTGTTGCTATCCAATCCTTACACTTGTTATGTTTGAGCCCAATTGCTACTGCCATTGTGTCAATCCATCTTTTTGGGAGTGTCCCTCCATTTTACCAGGCATGATGTCCTTCTCCAGATCCCACTTGACAACACGTCCAAAGTGTGAGAGGCAAAGTCTCACTATCTTGGCTTCTGAGGAGCATTCTGACTGTACTTCTTCCAAGACAGATTTATTTGTTCTTCAGGCAATACATGGTACTTTAAGAATTCGTCTCCAACATCATGATTCAAATGCATCAATTTTACTAGGTTTTTCATTATTCATTGTCTAACTTTCACATGCATGTTGTTGTTGTAAGTATAGTTGAGTGAGTTTGAACCACTTATCTGTAGTTCAAACTGACCTTCTGGTCCACTGGTTTATCCCACAGTGCCACACCAGGACTCCATGCATATTGTTGTTGTTGTTAGGTTCTATATAGGTTTTTTTTTTTTGGGGGGGGGGGGTGATCTTTGGAAGTAGATCGCCAGTCCTTTCTTCCTATTTCTCTTTAGTCTGAAAGTCCTGCTAAAGCCTGTTCAGCACCATTGTTGTTCGTTGTTAGGTGCCACCAACTCATAGGAACCCTATGCACAACAGACCAAAACACTGTCTGGTCCTGGGACAACCTCACAATTGTTGCCATGCTTGAGCCCACTGATGCTGCCATTTTGCCAATTCATCTCGCTGAGGGTCTTCCTCTTTTTCTCTGACCCTCCACCTTACCAAATATGATATCCTTCTCCATCGACTAGTCCCTTCTGACAATATGTCCAAAGTATGAGAGATGAAGTTTGGCCATCCTGGCCTCCAAGGAGCACTCTGGCTGTACTTCTTCCAGGGCTTATTAGTTGATTGAAAATACCATGGCTTAGGTCAGGTGCACCTTAGTTTTCAAACTGACATCTTTGCTCTTTAAAACTTTAAAGAGGTCTTTTACAGAGAAGCAGTGACAACAGAGATGGAGGCAGAGATGATGACATGGAGAAATACAGTAACTGAGAACTCTAGACTCATGGAAAGAGAAAGGCTCTGTACTGGCAGCTGAGAGGCAGGCTTGCAGAATACATTCCTGACTGTTTTTGTGTATGTCAAAAACAACAGCAACAAAAACAGGGAATAGAAGCAAATACTGTTGAATGATGACCCATGGAGGGGATTGTAATCATTGCAATGAAACAAAATATGATAGGATGAGTATAAAACTGATGTTCTCCCATGTAAACTATCACTCAATTCACAATAAAAACAAACTTTAAAGAGGTCTTTTGCAGTAGATTTCTTCAAAGCAATACATCATTTCATTTGTTTATTTTATTTTATCTTTTTACTGTGAATTGAGTGAAGGCCTATAGTCAAGTTTATCAGTTTTACATTCAATAAATCATACACCTTGTTTCATCTTAATGATGGAAATCTACTCTATGCAACAGTAGGTATCCTTCTTCCTCCCTGTGTCTCCTATTTCCATTCTATCCACTTGCCCATCGCTTCTCATCTTTGTCCTTAGGTAAGTGCTGTCCTTGATTTTTAATGATTGACTATTCCATGGTGTGAGCGTACCTTATTAGGTTTTTATTGGTTGTTTGTTTTCTTCTTGTATAGAGGTTTTGTAGTTTTCTATAAATTTTGGAGATTAGCCCCTTGTCTGATATGTCACTGCAGTTTTTTTTCCTGGTCTGTGGGCTGTC